ATAATAATAATGAAGCATGTAAAGATGAACGAAAATTTTTACAAACATTTTTTACAATTATAAATTTTTCTAATTTACTTTTTTGGTATCTTAATTTTTTTGGTATACACAATTAAAGTTGCCGCAGCTAACGGGACAGGCCGCGAGGCGACGCAGGCCTGCGCCTTGCAACACATTCGGCAAGTGGGTCAGTCTTTGGATGAGAATTACAAAATATGTGCATTAAAATGCAACAGCCAACAACAACAACAGCAGCAACGAGGAGGCAAACAAGCTGCAGCAACAGCAAAATGTTGCAAATGTTGTTGTTGGCTTTGCTGCTGCTGCTGCTGCTGAGCGGACAAATCGAACCGGTGGATGGCCTCAAAGTAACGGTAAGTTGTTAGTTAGCCTTAGTTCGAGTTGGCCAACAAGTCTTGCCAATAAGCAATTGCCTAAGCCTCGCATTAAGTGCAAGAAAAAACCAAGACAACAGGTAGCCGAGCGTGCGTATACTTAATATTTTATAGTTTTTTTAATTTTATTACATTCCCTTGCTTCACATTCATTTTCACTTAATTTTGAAGTATTTGAAGTATTTCACTATGCGTACTAACCCCCGAACCAGTTGTTACCTTATGAGATATTTATATAATTATGGTTATATAAGTACAAATTTATTAAGCCAGTTTCAGCTATCAAATACGCAATGGGCCTATAAGCTCGTAGAATATGACATAAAAAGCGAGTGGACAGCAGATGGCATATAAATGTATATACTTTACATATATAAATATACGATTAAATATAAACTTTAACTTAGCGTTCTCTTCATTTCATCTTGGCCTTTTTTCAAACTCAGTCTAAAGCCCAGTTCTCAAATTGGCAATTGAATGAGTTCTTTATTAGGGTAAGCACCACTGCGTATACTTCATATTTTATAGCCTATGAATTTTATGGCTCTCACTTAAAGTAAGTGGCTCAATTAGAGTTAAAGACAATTGCAAATTTCCTACTACTCAGTGAAAGTAATGGAAATACTATATATAATACTATTAGATGTTCTCTTGTATTTCTTGTGCACAAAAAAATTTATATATGTATATATTCTCATTTACAGTAAATCTTTATCAAAACACGTTTTCAAAATAAATTAAATATTTGTATGTTTTTTGGCCCACCTGTATATTGACAATATATTTGTATATTTTAAATAGTAAAGGTAGTCTTTGTATGAAATTAAGCAACTGTATATATTTCAAAAGAAATTATTCAACCTTGATATTTTCTCAAGAGCAAAAACAATCTACATGCAGCATATGCAACACTTTCACTTGGACGAATTACTAATAGTATTTTTGTTGTCAAGTTCATTAACATTCGATTCTCAAATAGGATCCTTATCTACTAGTTAAGCAAATGGCAGACAGTTGAGAACCAAAAATATATATTTATATATATATTTGTATTTTAAGATAAGATATTGCAATTGAATCATAATTATAATGGACTT